AAAAAAAAAAAAAATGGACACCCCCAGTGTCGTGGTGAGGGCTGGTGATAAAGATATCACGCTCCATGTATTGAGCTTTTGGGTCAGTAGATCAGGGTTGGGTGGCAAGAATCTGCATTTTTAATAAGCTGGCCAGTGGGTGCTAAAGATCAGCCAGGCTTAGGAACCAGCCTCCCTCCCTCCTCTTCTGCAGGGTTGGGGGTGCAGTCTTAGCTCCAGTGCCTCGGTAGCATAGCAGCTATTACCCACATGAGGGCGCTCATCTATCTGAATTCCCTGAACTAGGTGTTAATGCTTAAAAGAAATAACGAGTTTTTAAACGTATATAAAAATCTGTTTATTCGGGTGGGATAAGACCTGTGTTGAGATTCGGAGTTTAAGAAGAAAAAAAAAAAGCAATTGGAATTACAACTCCACTTTCTGTCTTTCAGGCCAAGCAAGCAATCCTTGAAATGGATGCCGTTCGTAAGTTTTATTTCCTTAACACAATTTGAAACTTCATTGTCTATTTGTATCTATCACATTTTCTATCTTAAAGTTCATGAAAATGTCAATTGTGAGAAAATAGCATCTCTCCTTTTTTTTTTTTTCTTTTCTTTTTACAATCAAGTAGATGAAGTAAGAAAATAGTATCTCTCCATTCATTGTTTGAACAATTGGGTAGACAGTATCGTCCCTTCTTAGCACATTGGCTTGTTTTTCTACATTGGTTCTCCCAGATTTATCTGAGTCACTTGATGGCTGGCTACTGTCTGGGTTTCTGCATTAACCAGTAATGTCAGTTATGTCTCCACGGTCAACTCTTCCCGCCCCACCTCTACCACCACCAAAAAACAGGGCTTCACGATGCATTTCTCACTTTGGCCAGGCGTGGTGGCTCACGCCTGTAATCCCAGCACTTTGGGAGGCCGAGACAGGTGGATCACTTGAGGTCAGGAATTCAAGACTAGCCTGACCAACACTGCAAAACCCTGTCTCTACTAAAAATACAAAAATTAGCTGGGCATGGTGATGGCCACCTGTAATCCCAGTTACTCAGGAGGCTGAGGCAGGAGAATTACTTGAACCTGGGAAGTGGAGGCTTCAATGAGCTGAGATTGTGCCAGTGCAAGACTCCGTCTCCCAGAGTCAGAAAACACTCTGAAAAGAGGCGAAAGAACACTGTGAAGAGAAGGCGAGGTCTTGAATGGGCATGTGTAGATCAGGAGGGAAAATGAAGGAAGCTGGAAACTGGAGAAGTTGGCTATTATTGTGACTAACTCCATTCAGCAAAACAATTTGCTGAATGCCCGACTCTGGGCAAGCACTCGGAAGTCAATTCGATTCTGAGTGTCCAGAATTATGTCAAGCCACTAACTGGTGCCACACGGATCTCTTCCAGGCCTAGGCCTGGGCCAGAGCAGTCCAGCCGGAGGCAGCGACAGTATTTGCCCAGCCCCGAGTTTGAACTTGGCTGAATATGAGCAGAGTAGGCCAGCCCATTGGGTCAGATGACCACATTATGAAACTTTCCATTGACTTTGGAGAAGCCCATTTGGTCTTTTTGATCCTCAGAATATCTCTCTGAACTTGAGATACCTTTGAAGAGCCTTCCCCCTGATTTTGTTTTGCTTTGTGACAGAGTCTCACCCAGGCTGGAGTGCAGTGGCGTGATCTCAGCTCACTATAACCTCCGCCTCCTGGGCTGGAGCAATTCTCCTGCCTCATCCTCCTCAGTAGCTGAGATTACAGGCGTGTGCCACCACGCCTAGCTAATATTTTGTATTTTTAGTAGAGATGGGGTTTCACTATGTTGGCCAGGATGGTCTCAAACTCCTGACCTTAAGTGATCCTCCTGCCTTGGCCTCCCAAAGGGCTGGGATTACAGGCATGAGCCACAGCACCCAGCCCCTTCCCCCTAATTAGAGGAGCACCCGTTCATGGCTTGTTGTAAATTGTTTGCCCCTAGGCTAGGGTGCAGGTGATCATTGAATATGCATCAGTACCTTACCATTAAACCAGGGTTCCTTAACCCAAAGTCTCTGTATCCCTTAAATGGTACAAAGACACGAACTTGATGAAATTAAATGAAAATTTCTTTTCTGATAAGGCAATCTAAAGCATTTATCAGATGCTCGGAGGAATGATATCTAGAAAAATATTAAGAGTCAGGCTGGGTGCGGTGGCTCACACCTGTAATCCCAGCACTTTGGGAGGCCGAGGCGGGTGGATCACGAAGTCAAGAGATCGAGACCATCCTGGTCAAAATGGTGAAACCC